GAGCAAAGAATCACAAAACATTGCGCTGAATGCAGAAGTACAGCTAAATGATGAATTGTAGATAAAATTAGAGAGATCCTTGTGATTTGGAGAAAAAGTTCACTCTCTCTCTCTCTTTCTCACAAAATGTCATATTCTTTTGTTACTGAGCTGTTTTGTTCCCATTTTGGTCCAGTCTGAACCTGTTCCTGACAGCACAGTCGGTCGATGGTGTACCAGCAGGAAACCCCCGCCCCTCGCCCACCGCTCATCTCTGTTTTTTTTTAATCCGTCCTTGAAGCGGCAGTACCGCCATCATCTTTGTCCCAAGCTTCCAATTTCGTCCTCTGAGGAATTATTGGCTTGTCTGTCACTTTCTTCATCACTTTCTCCTTTATCTCTCCAGGCGAGACGGGAAGCAAGCATTTGCTGGCTAAATCAGCTGAAATACATCAGCTATTCTGACGTTATTTGAACAGTTTCTTTAGTCATGCTAGGAGCTAATTTCAAGCTAAAATCAAGAGAATAATTAGTGGATTTTTTCTGAAAGCAAGTGTGTGTTGTGTGTTGTGATGTCCTGATGTATCAGTGGTCTAGATACAAACAAACCACATGACTGAAATGTATCACTTATATGGTGGATTGAAAATAAGTGAGCATTTAGGAGGCAGGAAAGGCCTTATGAGAGATTGTGTTGCATTATAATAATAATAATAATACATTTTATTTAAAGGCGCCTCTCTGGGCACTCGAGGACACCGTACAACACAATCATGAATAGAAGCATCAAGGCTACGTTAGCCCCTAGGAGCGTAACACACCTGATTCTCTGTTATCGATGTAGCGGTTGAGTTGCATCGTGGGTAATGTAGGTGCAGGGTTTTGACAAGGAAGAAAAATTTATGAAACAATGTCTAAAGATGGTCTACCAAAAAAATATTGTTCAAGTAGTGAAAGTTCACTTCTGACAAAAAATAAATTCTCTTAAAATCTCAAAAATTTAGTAAAGGAGACCTAGAGTTAAAGGGTACAACAGCTATTTAGTGTTGCACTTAACAGTTGGGGTACTCACAAGAGACAAATTGACTTTTAGTCTCTAGTACGACTTAAAGCTCCAAAAACACTGGATCCTACTTTCCCATAATGCTCTCTGTCCCTCCCGCCGCCTCCACCATGGGGAGCAGGGCTTTCAGCTGCTCTGCCCCCGACTCTGGAACTCACTCCCACCGCGACTCAGAAACTGGACTCTCTCACACTCTTCAAATCAAGACTAAAAACTCACCTATTCAGAATTGCCATACCCCCACTTAACTGTCCTACATTGTCTTTTCTTATCTTCTTCTTATTTTCTTACTGTTTTATTTTTTA